AGAGGTTGATCAAATACAAAACACAGCAAGACTTCAGGATAACCCCAATGACACAAAAATTCATAAATAAAATGAACAATCTAGTTTTCTGTGCCTGAAAATTCTGAGTTATACAGCCCAATTAATAATGAGCCATTTTATTTGCCCTGTTAGAACTTCTAATAATGTAGAGTCTAAAAAGGTTAAAACAAATTCATACTGCTTCATACTTAAGAGAGATATAAAGAAGAGAGAAATCAAAAGTTGAATAAGAGATCACTTGAGGCAATTTTTGCAGTTGACTAGAATTAATTTCACTTAACAGCTACGGTTCTAAATCCCTGAATGTATGAGGTCTTAAAATCCATGCAATAGCAAAGAAATCATATAAATCCCTTCCATCAAAAACAAACAAACATCTCGGCTGATTTCACATACAAATTTGAGGAAAAGTCAAGTTCTTTAAGTTCAGGTCATGATCACCTTCAACTTAAAAAGCCTTTAAGAAAATATTCAAAGAGTCTACTACTGTAAATTATAACATAATTTACAAAGAAGGGAGAAACGAAACTTTTAAAACAGTAAAAAAGAGCTAACCAAAAGGGATAGGTACATAAAAATACCCTGAAAACTTTGAACAAATGAAAGAATTCAAAATTTTCTTCAAAGAATGCATATAATAGGAATAAAACAGTCTCTTAAATTTATAATAAGAATATTTTAATTGCAGGTACAAGTGTTGAAATTGTAACTGAAACAATGACACTATGTTAAATCATCTTTGTGATCATTTTTATGAATATGATTGTAATTATTAATTATTAGGTCTTCGCCAACTGCATCTGTTTTGGAAGCAATTCCACAATCCAATTCTTTGTATTCTGGATTACACTGCCACCTACTCTTCTTTGACCACCTGTGCTGGCTTTGATCACTTCTTTGATTGTTTTCAGAAGTATAATCTTGCTGCAGATCTAATCGGTAAGACTGCATTTGATGAGTTAAATTGTGATGTTGCACTTGGTAGTTTGTTGAGTGCATTGATGGAGATTGAATGTGCAATGGAGTCATTTGATGGGAATGTGCTGCCGGCTGTAGATTTGAAGGCTGAATATGAGACGACTGATGAGTTTTAAGTACCTGCTGGGAAATCTGCATTTTACTGCTTTGTTGCTGCTGGGCATGAGCAGTCTGGTACTGTGCTTTTGGAGGGGCCATCAAATGACAATCTGCATCACTATCTACATCTAGACCACCACTGTTTTGCTGGTATTGACTGGAGTGGTGGTGTTGATTAGATAAATGCTGAAGATGTTGCTCTGGAAGGTGTTGTTGCTGCAGTTGCGGTTGATGTTGCTCTTGCTCTGGGGAATGCTCCTGATTTTGCTTTTCTTGCTGTTGCTGAAATGGATGCTGCTGATGAAGATACTGTTTCTGCTGTTGGGGGAGATGACAATGGTGCTGATTTTCTGGAGTTGTTGCTTCTCGAGATTGCTCCCGCTGCTCTGTAGAAGTAGGTGTGCTGATGCGCTCCAGCGGAGAGGATGGCGATTTATTGTTTGAAGGAAACAGCATATTGCTGGATGGAACTGTTGCCAAAAGTCCTAAAACACACACAAATAAACTGCATTAAAAGTTTGGTAATGAATAAGAGTTAACTAAGTTATAACAAATTCAAGTTTAAGAAATAAAGCTATTAGGATATGGCATATAGGCTCAATGTTACTCATAATTTT